ATCCCCTGAGAAAATTGAGAACATGGGAAGAGGGGGGAGGAAGCTACAAGAGTGAGAAGGGAAGAAAACGAAGGATGCAGAGGTCATGACGAAGCAGAAAGGTTGAGTCAGATGTAGATTTGAAGAAAGGACATATGATAATAGGGTTTTAGTTAGGGGGGTGGGAGAGGCGGAAGGGAGGGAGAAGGGAACTGGGATTGTCATGTAATTCAATCTTGTTTGTAATTCAAATAAAAAAAAGTCAAAAAAAGAATAAAAAAACATAGTTTCTTAGTTTGGAAAATTAATGAAATTTTGACACTAATTAGCTAGCTGTCTGTGTATTTTATAACAAGACTTTCTGATTAGTAAAAGAGAACCAATGTTAACTGTGTGGAACTCTCTCATATCTTAGTTAACTCCACCCAGGGAAAATATGCAATTGGGTCTAGGTTTTCTTTTTTCTTTTTTTTAATAAATGTTACTAATAGCTTAAAAAAGTTTTTATTTTATGTGTATGTGTGTTTGCCTGAAGGTATGTATATGTACTACATGTGTGCCTGATGCCAGTTGTGGCCAAAAGAGTTACCAGATCCCCTGGAACTAGAGTTATAGATGGTTTTGAGCTACCATGGGGCTGGGAACTGAACCCAGGTCCTCTGCAAGCGTACCCAGTGCCCTGAACCACTGAGCCATCTCTCCAGTCTCTAAACTTTTTTTTTTTTTTTTTTTAAATCTTGTTGTTTGAGACAGGGTCTCCCTATGTAGTCTTAGCTGTCCTAGAACTCACTCTGTAGACCAGGCTGGCCTGGAAGTCAGAGATCCACCTGACTCTGCCTGCCAAATGCTGGGGTTAAAGGCGTGTGCCACCATCACCCAGAAATTTTTTCTAAACTCTTAAAGATTTTGTCTTTCTTAGATTTATGGATCCTGCCTACATTTGTCTCCTACCTTAGTGCACTAATGCAGAAATGAAAGCATAGTAAAAACTAGCCTAATGGGCTGGGGGTGTAGTTGCCTAGTCTGTCCTGTGTTTGATTCTCTGGTACCACATAAACCTGACGTGGTGGCACATCCCTGTAATTATAGGGAGATGGAGGCAGGACGATGAAAAGTTTAAGTTTATGGTCATCACCATAACAATTTGGTGGTTAGTCTAAAGCTACATGACACCCTGCCCCAGCCTCCCTGCATCCCCCCAAAACTGAAGAAAACTAATGGAAACATTGCTATTAACCTCAAAGAATCAGCCACACACACTCGGTGGTATTCATGTGGTCCAAGGTAATAATTCCCACTTACTCTCCTCTTACTCCCGTTATTCATCCCCATACCCAACTCCCACTTTAGGCAGGAGGTCACTGAGTTCACAGACCCAGTGCATTCTCCTGTTGCAAGCTGATGAAGTTGCTGGATTCCCCACAATGCCTTGTCCCTTCCTGTCCTCCAGTGCCATGCCAGAGAGCACAGATTATAAGCAATTTCACAGTTAAGCAGCCACTCACCATTTTAGTGCCCTCAGTCACTCGGTACAACATGAACTGGTTGCCGCTTTGGTTCCCAGCGTTATACTTCTTCAGAGCCACATCCACAGCCAGGAATACATCCTCGTCATTGCAGTCAATTTCCTGGGAGACTTCTCCCTGTGTTAAACTCGGTAGCAGCCTGGAGCAGAGGAACAGGATAGTAATTAGCTTCATGATTTAAGTTTCCCTCCCAAATGGCGGGGATGGTTTTGCCAAGGACTGGAAGCCAGCTTAGAAACTGCTTTTTAGCAGCTTCTCTGGTCTGTCCTGTCCTGTCTCTCCCTGCCTCGCCACTGGAGACCTATTTGGATTCCTGCTGTCACAAGCTGTTTGTCCTCTTCCCAAAGAACAAATACAACTCTGCACGCTGTCCAAGCAGGTTTCAGGCTGGAACATTGCGACATCGAGGTTGTTGACCTGCTCGTTTGCCTTTGGAAAGAATGTGGGAGTAGGGAGCCCGTTTCCAAAACGTTGCACAACTTTGTACAGTAAATTAGAGCAGAAACCAATAAAAGAGGAGCTAAAACCAACAACCAATCCCGTTATCTTCTTGTGACTTTACTGGACTGGTTGCAAAGGTCTCTGCATGTGTGAACAATGAGGCCAGTGTACAAACACCTCCCATACGGAATTGCTAGTGGGATATTAATGTGTACAGGAGCAGACTGCTGTCAGTTCTGGCGCGTTCCTGAAAAGCACAAGCACAGAAAGGACACTGGCACACCTGAAAACCAGCCTCTCTGCTCAATTCTACTAGCTCAAGGGAAGGGAGAGGCCAGCAGGAGCCCAGCAGGTCAAAGTGCTTGCCTCACGAGCCTCATGCTGACAACTTGAGTTTGATGTCTGGGAGTCAGACAAAAAACTGTGGATGGTGGCACACATTTGTAGTCCTGGCATTCCTACTGTGATCCATGAGGTGGAGACACGAGGATTGCCAGGAAGCTCACAGGCTGGTAGCCTGGAGTATGAGAGCAGGAGAAACAAGGAGACCTGTCTTACCAAGGTGGATGGTGAGGCTCCCACTCCTGAGAGGTCTCTGACCTTTACATGTGGGCTGTGGCTTTGTGCTGCCTTATACATTCTCATCCTCTCTGTATAAACACACACAATAATAATAATGAAGAAAAGAAAGGAAGGACAGAGGGAAGGAAGAAGAAAAAGAGAAAGAAGAAATAAAAGAAACCTCTAGTTTGCAATGGAGCCTGCCTGAGAGGCCCTGAGGTGGGGTGCTGTCACCATGGGTTGAATGGTGACTTTATAGGAGCAGGCAGAAACAGTCCCTTGGCTGGAGATCCTAGATGGATGTCAATCTGGCCTCTACTCCTGAACTTCTATGTGATTGAGACTGAACAGGCATGTGCATGTATGCCAATTGTGTATGTGTATGTTTCCTGTCTGGGTGTGAATGAGTGTGAGTTTATGTCTGCCCATGTGTGTGTTTGTGAGTCAGAGTCTTAACCATCCCATCTCTATTTCTTCACCCAAAGAATGTGGAAACCTTTTTTTTTTGTTTGTTTGTTTCTGAGACAGGGTTTTTCTGTGTAGCCTTGGCTGTTCTGGAACTTGTTCTGTAGACTAGTCTGGCCTCAGACTCACAGAGATCCACCTGCCTCTTCTGGGTTTAAAGGTGTGTGCCACCACCTCCTGGCTGGAAATCAGAATATCTTTTTTTTTTTAGTTTTATATTTTTTATATATTTGAATTACAAACAAGATTGGGTTATATGATGACACCAGCTCTCTTCTCCCTCCCTTCCTCCTCTACCACCCCTCCAACTAAAATCCTACCTATCATATGTCCTTTCTTCTAATCAACACCTGACTCAACCTTTCTGCTTCCTTATGACCTCTGCATTCTTCCTTTTCTTCCCTTCTCACTCTCGTAGCTTCCTCCCCCCTCTTCCCATGTTCTCAATTTGCTCAGTAGATGGTGACCCTTTCCCCTTCTCCAGGGGACAAAGTTTGTCTGTTTTAGGGTCTTCCTTGTTTATTAGTTTCTCTAGCAGTGTGGATTGTAGGCTGGTAATCCCCTTACCCTATGTCTAAAATCCACATATGAGTGAGTACATATCATGTTTGTCTTTTTGTGATTGGGTTACCTCGCTCAGAATGGTTTCTTTGAGTTCCATCCATTTTCTTGCAAATTTCAAGATTCCATTGTATTTTTTCTGCTGAGTAGTACTCAATTGTGTAAATGTACCACATTTTCTCCATCCATTCTTCGGTTGAGGGGCATCTAGGCTGCTTCCAGTTTCTGGCTATTACAGGTAGTGCTGCTCTGAACATGGTTGAACAGATGTCTTTGTTGTATGAATGTGCTTCTTTTGGGTATTTGCCTAAGAGTGGAATTGCTGGATCTTGTGGTAGACTCATTCCCATTTTCTTGAGGAGTCACCATACAGATTTCCCAAGTGGCTGTACAAGTTGGCACTCCCACCAGCAGTGGAGGAGTGTTCCCCTTTCTCCACATCCTCTCCGGCATAAACTGTCATTGGTGTTTTTGATTTTGGCCATTCTGACAGGAGTAAGATGGTATCTCAGAGTTGTTTTGATTTGCATTTCCCTGATGGCTAAGGATGTTGAACACTTTCTTATGTGTCTTTCAGCCATTTTAGATTCCTCTGTTGAGAATTGTCTATTTAGTTCTGTACCCCATTTTTTAATTGGATTGTTTGGTGATTTGGAGAATAGCTTCTTGAGTTCTTTGTATATTTTGGAGATCAGCCTTCTGTCAGATGTGGGGTTGGTGAATATCTTTTCGCAGTCGAAATCAGAATATCTTAATGGGGTTATTTTGTTTTGTTTCATTTTGTTTTTTTACTAAAAATCCTTTTATTTAAGCAAGTTTTGAAAGTGAAGACAGAAACACTTAAGCTTTCATGTGAATTAAACAGCCCAGCACCACAGCTCACAGAAGCAAAGAAAAGAGAAGGTGGGTATCGAAGAGAAACTAAGGCAGAGAATGCAAGTCTTTAATTTTAGTTTCCTGAAGTCAAGCGAGGTATGTATGGTATCTACTTTCTAATATGGGGAAGTGAATTCAGACTTTTGTAAAGGTTGCACAAAACCACTGCACTTCCAAAAAAGCACAAAAGTGAAAACAGTAGCCAGTGCACATGCACAACCATTCATGTCTTCAATAAAGAGGGCTAGCCCAAGACTGCAGACCTGAGGAAGAGCAGTGCTTCAACGGGCTGGTAAGTGCTGGAGTCACACAAGTCACAGTAGAAGGGCAGATGTCGCCCAGGTAAGAAGCTCTTGTTATAGCTGGAGCAGCAGGGTTAAGACTGTCAAATCCAAGCAATCATTCAAAGCTTCTGGAGCCCACCTACTTGTGTCTGAACTATGCCACTTGTCTTCCAACCCATGGCCAAAAACTTCTGGCTTACAAAATCCAAAAGGAAAACACGGAGTAATCAGTTCAAGGGAGGTCCTATTAAATAAGAGCAGCATAAAAAACTGTAATTATGCGGAAGCAAGGAAAGCCTGAGCTTGCTACTTGTTGGAGCCAGCCAGCCCTACACCAGCTATGCAACATGTACAATTACTGTTGCATGAATTACTTGCATTGCCATTACACATCCCCTGTATTGGTTAAACTAGCCAAAATCTCCATATATATAGGTTCCCCCTACTAACTACCACAGTGCACACTACCATGTCAATTATGATAGAAAATATTCTTTGTATTTCTAAGAAGTCTGGTCAGTACACTGCTTACTTTCTAGTCATATTGTAGGCAGTGTTCCTTTAACTAAATTCTACTTTGTGTAACTTAGTATTTCCTAAAGAATGTTTGTTAGTAAATCCTTTTAACATCAATGTTACTATTTCAAGTTTCTCCTACATCAAAATGACCCAGATAACAAATAAACAAATGCTATCAAGCAATATCCATGTTACATCCAACATTAATGGTTGATGCTCATTTTATAAAGCCTCTTTCAACCTATTTGCTGCTTTCAGCAAATGATTATCACAACACACACATACATTACTTTTGTATCAGGGGCACAGAAGAATACACAACTTAAGATTACAGTTATGCATTAGCTTAGGTTGTAACATTTGACTACATGGGCATTCCAAGGCAAGTAAGGTTGGTTGTTGCATTGTTCTCAAGAAGGCAGGTCAAACAAACATGATGAGTACACAGTAGGACAGCAGTCCTAGGTCTTCAGTGACTTCAAGGTGTATTATTAACTCTGACTGCGAGGCCCAGCAAACGTTCCAGGCTCTTAGAATATAAGAGATGTTTTCATAGTATTTCTTCACCATAGGTAAGTTTCCAGGTTGAGTGGAAGGAGGAAGAGGAAGAAATAGAGGAGCTGGAAGATGGGAGGGTGAGGAAGTGAGTAACTACCATGAAGGACTTGGGTCACTGTGAACACTTCCAGAACAGCCAGAACAGCCAGTGCGCAAAGAATATGGCTTTGGAGGAGGCTCACCAGAGCTCTAACCTGAGTTCTACAGGTTACCAACTATGTTGGTTGAAAGAAAATGGCCACCATAGGCCCACAGGGAGTGGCACTACTAGGAGGTATGGCCTTGTTGGAGTAGGTATGGCCTTGTTGAATGTAAATATGCTCCTTACAAGGCTGATGCTTTGGTTTGTTTGTTTCTTGTTTTGTTTAGTTTTTTGAGACAAGCTCTCCCTATTATATAGCTACAGTTGTCCTGGAACTCACTATGTAGCCAGGCTGGTTTTGAACCAGTAGAGATCCTCCTGCCTTTGCCTCCTGATTTCTGGGACTTAGAGGTGTGTGCCACCATGCACAGCTTATTTTCTGCCTTTAATGCTATTGTTTATCTGTAGCAACTGCAATAGGATATCTATAAAAATGAATCAGGGGTTTTTAATATCTATGCTTTTCAAGATGTATTCTCGTAAACTCAAGAAACATTTATCAAAGTGCTTTATTAATTAGAAAATGAGTTGGGCGGTGGTGGCCCATATCTTTTATCCCAGCACTTGTGAGGGAGATGAAGGTGAATCTCTGTGAGTTTAAGGCCAGACTGATGTACAGAGCAAGTTCTAGGATAGTCATGGCTACACAGAGAAACCCTGTCTCAAAAGACAAACAAGTGAACAAACAAATAACAACAAAATAAAGAAATAACAAAACAAATCTGTGGGAAAATAATATTTTGGGTTATTAATCTGAGTTTATTTGTTCTTGGCTACCTGATAGCCCCCTTTTCTTAACCTTTCACTCAGGCAGCTGACTCCAGGTTCATGCTTCCGAAAAAGAATGTGGTTCCCTAAGGCAACATTTAGCTGGCCCCCATAGAATGGTCACACTGGTCATTTCTGGTTGGCAAATGTTCTAAATGGTTGCTGGAACTGGTCAGTGCCTGTGCCATGCCGGTTTTTCAGTATTTAGAGTACTAATGACCACTGGGGCTGGGAGGTAGAGAAAATCTGAAGTTGATTAACCTGGTTCCAGGTGTGTGAGTTCAGATTTAGAAAGAAGGAGCAAGAGTATTAAAGTGGAAGAAAAACAGTTGTTTAGCATCAAAAATAAATAAGGCAAACTCACCCGAGACTAGAGAGAAGGCATCTTATGGAAAAGAGATGGGAAGGACAGTGGGAGTGGGGTCTAGGGTTCCTGAGAAGCAGAGCTCTGCTCTCCCTTCTGGAAACACAGTTTGGGCAAGATCCCTGGAAGTGCAGTGGTGCATCTTGGCACTCTTGTCCCTTGGTGATCTTCTAGGGATTCCTTTATCTTTAATTGGATGTCGAAGTGGCCGTTAAGCTAGCCTCAAAGAGAATGTGCACATGCTGATGGCCCTGTGTCCTCTCAAGTGTGGCACTCTGTGGTACAAATCTGCATGGGGAGAGGCAGGCTGCAGGGACTCCAGGCTTAGTTTCCCCTGAGCCCAGGAGAGTGCCTGTGTGAAATGGGAATTAGTTGGAACGTGAATGATATTTCTTGAACATCTGAATTTAGGCTCGTGATTATGCTAAAACTGTCTCTGCCACTTATAGCCAGTTTTATTAAGTGCTTTGTAATGGAATTTAGACTGGCAATCATTAGGAGTGAGTCACTTTTTAAAAAAAGCAATATATACTTTCTTGATATGTCCATTGTGGTGGTTTGATTGAGAATGTCCCCACAGGCTCAGATGTTTGGACATTGGGTCCCCAGTTTGTGATCCTTTCTGGGGCTGTTTAGAGTGTATGGCCTTGCTGAAGAGAGTATGTCATTGGATTCAGCCTTTGAGATAAAAAGCCCCATGCTACTTCTGTTCAGCTCTTTCTGCTTTGTGCATGTGATGTGAGCTCTCAGCTCCTAGCTCCCGATGCCCTTCCTGTCACTTGCTGCCACGGCTCCCTGCTATGATGGACTTCTCATCTCTCTGGAGCCATAAGGCAAAACAAACTCTCTCTTCCATAAGTTCCCTTGGTCATGGGATTTCATTACAGCAACAGAAACGTAGCTAATACCCTCAGCTAGAATTAGGGAATTAACCCAAGGAAGACAGAAATTCTTTTTTTTTTTTTAAAGATTCTATTTATTTATTAGTATACAACATTCTGCTTCCATGTTTATCTGCACACCAGAAGAGGGCAGCAGATCTCATAACGGATGGTTGTGAGTCACCATGTGGTTGCTGGGAATTGAACTCAGGACCTCTGGAAGAGCTGTCAGTGCTCTTAACCTCTGAGCCATCTCTCCAGCCCAGGAAGACAGAAATTCTTAAGAGACTTCTCATCTGATGCAGGATCCAGTGACGGAAATCAACTCTGTTTCATAGCATTGATGTCTTTCCTCTCCTTTCCATTTGTCTGTCTATCTTGTCTTTCCCATACTCCCCTAAGTGTGAAAATAACCACACCTTTCATTTCTTACTGTTCACATTTTATTTATTCAGAACATTGTTCATTTTCTCCCCACCAAGGAGTCAGGTTTTATTTTGGAGGCATATTTGCAAAAAACTTATGAATTTGTGGAAACTCACTTCTGAATTTCCCTGGACATGACTTGGAGGCTGCCTCGGGGAAGGATTGAATTTCTGGTTGTAGGGGATTGTTGCAATTTGGTGGTGAGATGCTGGGGAAATTGGCTTCAGGAACATCCAGAACTTCACCTGTACTTAGTGGAGGGAGTCGGTAGACATTTCCAATTTCTTGGTGGTGGAAAGGAGAGAACCCTTTACCTGAACCTCTTTTTCGTGAGTGGCCATGTGGTGGGCCATGGTCCCCGTGATACTGCCCTTTCAGTTTTTGGCTGTTGGAGGGTGGATCACAGGGTCCATAGTCATGGAAATCATGTCCATGAGGAGGGTGTCCATGGGGATGGTGTCCATGAGGAGGGTGTCCATGGGGATGGTGTCCATGAGGAGGGTGTCCATGGGGAGGGTGTCCATGAGGAGGGTGTCCATGGGGATGGTGTCCATGAGGAGGGTGTCCATGGGGATGGTGTCCGTGAGGAGGGTGTTGGTGTCCATGGGGAGGGTGTCCATGGGGATGGTGTCCGTGAGGAGGGTGTCCATGGCGATGGTGTCCATGGGGAGGGTGTCTATGGGAAACATGCTCATTACAACTGTGATTATGAGGGGGTCTATGGGCTCTGTTGGTACCAAAAGGAGAGGAATGTCGAGGAGGTGGTTGTGGGAGGGATCTGTCTTGAGGTGGTGGTCTATCTGAGTCTTCCTCTCCTTCTGGTGGAGGCGGGTAGCCATGTTCATACATCTTGTGGGTATGATGATGACCCCTGGATCCACTGAACTTGCACAAATGTTTGCCACAAGAATGCTCATGGCCCCAGTGGGGCTTTATGTCACTCATGTTTCTATCCTGGTAAAGGACACAGAAAAGTGAATGTAATTATGTAAGAAGCTAGATGATAGGCTTGACTGAGACTGGAGGCTCTCAAAGATTTTATGAATCAATTTAAGAAGTAAGATACTAAAAAAACTCTTAAAATAGTATTTTATGTGTGTGTGACTTTGCCTGCATATATGTCTGTGCACCGTGTGTGTGTGTGTGTGTGTGTGTGTGTGTGTGTGTGTGTGTGTGTGCAGTGCCTGTGGTGGCCAGATAAGGGCATCAGATCCCCTGGAACTGGAGTTACAGACAGCTGTGAGCTGCCATGTGGGTGCTGGGAATTGAACCCTGGTCTTGTGTAAGAGCAGCTACTACTCTTAACCATTGAGCCATCTCTCTGGTCTGGTTCTCAATTTTTTTCTAGCCAAATTACATTTAAAATACCCAATCCCCCCAAAAAAAACCCAAAAAACAAAAACAAGAACAAAAAACAAAACCCTGTCACTGAATAGCATTATAATTTTCCAAGAGAAATACTATTTTGACAAATTAGAAAGATAATCTCAAAAGTAAGGGTAGCCCTTTGGATATGCTGTTTCATAAAATATTGTATTATACTTTCCAGCAATGGTGGTGCATGCCTTTGATCCCAGCACTTGGGAGGCAGAGGCAGGGAGATCTTACTGAGTTTGAGGCCAGCCTGGTCTACAGAGCAAGTTCCAGGACAACCAGGGCTATACATAGAGAAACCCTATCTTGAAAAACTAAAAAACTAAAAAAAAAAAAAAGTTTTATTCTTATTTTTTTCATTTCAATGAAAATTGATGAAACTCTATGAAGGAATGGTACCTGTCTATTAAACTAGCATTTTATGCTGGACCTGACATTTCTAACACAGTCTCAAGACACCCTTCCAGAGGACAGTCACTCTTCTGGAAACAGACTCTCTTCCAGAGGACAGATGACACTTGGTCTCTAAACCCTCGACTTTAGCTCTTTTTATTTTTTAAATAAAACAAACAAATAAAAAACCCCAGAGTCTTTCTCTGTATCTCAGGCTGGCATGGAACTCGGCTATTCTTCTATTTCAGCTTCCTACATATGGAATCACGGTTGTATACTAACAGACTTTAACTTAAAAAAAAAAAAACTACAGTTGGGCATGGTGATGTACATATGGTTGGTGTGACAGTGTACACCTTTAATCCTAGCACTTGGGAGTCAGAGGTAGGCAGATCTCTAGGAGTTTGAGGTCAGCTTGATCTCCGAAGTGAGTTCCAGACCGGTCAATGCTACATAGTGAGGCCTTGTCTCAAAAACAAAAACAGGGGGGTGAGAGGAGGGAGAGGGAGAAGGGACTTACATGTGAAACAAGTTTGTTCCCTAACTTGAACTAATAAAAATAAATAAATAATAATAAAAAAGAAGTTCAAAACAAAAACAAAAACAAAAACAAAAAACCCAAATAAACGAAAGAAAATACAAATAAAATCTATGGATCCATGTTCTTGGTGACAACAAACCTACTCTCTCTGTCCCTGTCCCTGTCCCTGTCCCTGTCTCTGTCTGTCTGTCTGTCTGTCTGTCTGTCTGTCTGTCTGTCTGTCTGTCTGTCTGTCTCTGTCCTGTCTCTGTCTCTGTCTCTGTCTGTCTCTGTCTCTGTCTCTGTCTCTGTCTCTCTCTCTCTCTCTCTCTCTCTCTCTCTCTCTCTCTCTCTCACACACACACACACCTATACACACATGCATAATAAAAGCCAAATGAGCCAAATGTACTATGTGTGAGAAATTGTCACTTGGCCTGGTCCTGCTCATGACAAAGGATGCTCAGTTAGCTCACCTCAAAGTTGAAGACTTCACAGTTTATGTCAGTGTCTTTTGGGGTTTCCAAGTTGGAGGCTTCTACATCATAGGACAAAACTGCTCTGCAGAACCCAAAGACCTGCAAAGGGAGATGCCTGTTAGTTTATTAGTGTGTGTACAAAGAATGTGTGTGTGTGTGTGTGTGTGTGTGTGTGTGTGTGTGTGTGTGTGTGTGTGTGTGTTTGTATGTACAGGAGAGTGAAGATTTCCGACTGAGTTAAGCTTTAAATAATAAGTGGAAAAGGAACCAGATCTGTAACTTCCCAGTGGAGGCCTGGCACGCAGGACACCTAAACAAACAAGGAAAACAGAAGACAATACTATCATACACCCCTAAGTGATTTATCAAGGTTATCTAGTCAACACTCTGGTAAAGTACAGGTTCCACACGTTTTTGTTCCGGCTTCTGTGGTTTCCTGCCATGACCAGACATGAGGACTGTACTTCCACAGGGGTAGGAAGGATGTCCCTGTGGTTCTTAGGCCAGTGCTTCTGCACTGAAAACCTGGGTTGCTTGTTCCTGGGTGAAGGAGGAACACTGTAGAAAATGGATTTGTGTAACTTGCAGTGCTGTGAAGGGCAGAGCCACTGCAAAGACAGGTCTGCTTGGGCTCTGTGAATGTGTCTGCTGGCCCTAATGGCTGGCATTCCTGTGCTCTGGAAGGCCCTAAGGCTATTTGTCCAAGGACAAGGAGACAACTCATTTCTAGAAGAAGCTATGCGTTGAGGCTGTCTGTACAGTTTTGAAGTCAAGCAAACCTATATGGACGTCGCTTTATCATTTGCCAGAGGTGGGAGACAAATTGTACAAAAGTTCTGAAATTCACTGTTTGTAAAATGAATGTAATGTTATCTACCTACAGATTACAGGCCCCTTTCGTTCAGGGAGATGAGGCTGTTAGCTTCCCCTTCTCCAGCCCTCAGAATTCTGCACTGGGTTTTTAGCACCCACCACAGAGACACACCGACAAGTTTGTTAGTGGTGGGCTTAGGAGAAAGAATGTCATATCTTTTGTGGCTTCTGAGTAGGAATCTAGAACTGGCCCAAGTGGGAAATTTGAGCAGTTGGAACATGAAACAGTAAATGCTTCCTCTCTTCTGGCCAGAGAAAGTGAATGTGCCATTAAACCCCAGGAAAGCCCTGGAGTTGAGATCAGAACCGAGTTGCCATTTGCTGACATTTCCTGGCTAACAGAGCACAGGTACATGGTTCTGATTTCAGGCCTCTCTGGGTGGGTGGTGATGTACCCCTTTAATCCCAGTACTTCACTCTTTCTGAGTTCGAGGCCACACTGGACTACAGGGCAAATTCCAGGACAGTCAGGCCTATGCAAAGAAACACCCATCTAGAAAAACAAACAAAACTATAACAAAAAGAGATTTCAGGCATCCTTATTCCGGGGTAACAGAGCTAGACACTTGCATCCACTTGGTTGTATTGTCATGAAGCCTGGCAGACACTATGTGGAGATGCTTTGTAAACACCAAGGCACTATATATACTAGCGACTTTCTTATCACTAAAACCAAATACCTATTAGCGATGACTAAAGGGAAGAAATATCTGGTTTTATTAGTATGATCTTCCAAGAGATAATGGGTCGATTTGACTGGGGAAGAAGTCATGCTGGAAAGACCTGGATCCTAATTCAAACTTGGTTGTGAACCTTGGCAAGACCACAATAATGTCTTCACTTGCCATTTGGAATCCCAGTGGGGGTTGATTCGTTGTTGTAGATGACCCTAGTATATGCTGGTTATTACTTCACTAAGTCTTTAGTCTTGATGAATTGAAAACTCAATTTCAGGTGTATGTAGATAATATCACGAATATGCTAAAACCATTTTCTCATTTGCATACCAGAGAAAATATGAGCACTTACCTGCTATGGTGGTAGCATGAGTGTCGGTAAGTGAACACATGCATAAAACATTTGGAAGAGCTCCTTCAAGTGGTGAACACTGTCTGGCAGTGTATCACAGGGGTGTGTCATACTTACTGGAGGGTGTCTGGGGAAATGCTGTGTGGAACAGTTCCTCATAGAGAAGTCCAAGTAGTAATTGGTTCGTTTCCCTCCTCTCTAGAACAGAGGCATAACATAATTTCAGGAAAAGCAATAGATATCGATTAAACAATATCTCTTAAAGCACCATGGGAATTAAAATAATGAATACATGCTAGTTTTCTATGCTTTCTGCCTTCTAAAAATATACTGTATCAGTGATACAAGATCACTATTTCACAGAAGCTTTCTAATATATAGGCATAAGCATAGCAGGGAAAAACACCCTCCCTTAGCCCAGACCTTCATTCTTGGGGGATGGCACCATTACTGCTTTTTTTTCATTTTATGTATGTTTTTATGTGTGGGGTATTTATCATACATGTGTGTCTGTGTTCCATGTACACATAGTGTCCAAGGAGGTCAAAAGAGGGCATCAGATCTTGTGGAAAAAGAGTTACAGATACATGGTGAGCCACCATGTAGGTGCTGGGAATTGAACTCAGGTCCTCTACAATAGCTGTCAGTGCTCTCAACCTGTGAACCATCTCCCTAGTCCCATTGCCACAGGTTTGATGTGTTTCTCCTTTTAGGCTTTGTCCACATGTAGGAATATATAGATTTTTTAAATACTTCATTTACATGGGCTCATATACTAAGTATTGGTCTGCAGCCTGCTTCTTCCCTCTTGCCAATACATGTGAGACCCTAACATTCTTCCTAGCAAACAACACTATATACATCCCGTTGCATGAAACACTATGATCTAGTCAATTTTCCATTCCCAAAACACTTGGAAAGGCTGGAGAAATATTTCGTTAGCAAAGAGTACTTGTTGCTCTTTCAAAGGACATGAGTTCAATTCCAGGACCCACAGCAGGATATCCATTGCCCCCTTCTGACCTCTGGGAGCAGATCACACATGGTGTGCACATACATACATGCAAGCAAGCAAGCAAACAAATAAATCTTAAAAACATATCTTAAAAAGAAGCAAATACCAAACATCAGCTGGCTATTCTACCTGACAGTTCTGTGTGGGAGGCACTAGAATTCTTGGCCTTCGAGGCAGAGACTTTCAGTATCACCTACAATGCTGGTCATGGTGAAGGTTTTCTCTTTTTTCTTTTTTTGTGCTTCCATATTTTAGCCATAATATAAGGAGGCTAAAATTGGATAGTTTTTAATGCTTGAATAACCCCATCATGCTCTTGTCTTTCCTTCAGATTTTTTCCTTTTCCTCCTCCTCCTCCTCTTCCTCCTCCTCCTCCTCCTCCTCCTCCTCCTCCTCCTCCTCCTCCTCCTCCTCCTCCTCCTCCTCCTCCTCCTCCTCCTCCTCCTCCTCCTCCTCCTCCTCCTCCTCCTCCTCCTCCTCCTCCTCCTCCTCCTCCTCCTCCTCCTCCTCCTCCTCCTCCTCCTCCTCCTCCTCCTCCTCCTCCTCCTCCTCCTCCTCTTCTTCTTCTTCTTCTTCTTCTTCTTCTTCTTCTTCTTCCTCCTCCTCCCTGTCAGATCTTCACTATATCCTCATTCTACTCTCTCTCAAGAAAAAGAAGTTATAGAAGAGCTGTGCATTGGGATTGCTGTTTGCCAAGCATCAAAGACTGTGATGGTTGTAAAGGCAACTAGCCAGGTGAGGCAGGTATACCAGGTGTGCCCCTCAGCTCACACCCGCCAGGTAGTAGAAACTCACCGCTCTTATAACCCTCTCTATTCGTTCCACTCTGAAAGAGCCAAAGTCGCTATTCTCCCATTTGTACTTGTCAAGGGCGGTATTTGCTTGTTCTCTATAAGGCTCAGAATCCTCAAAGAAATCCAAGAGCACAGGGCTGTCTTTCGTGTTGCTTAGGGCTGAAGAGACTAAGGAAGAAAAAAGATGGCGATACCACAGCATCAGAGGGTCAGCCGCAATGTCAACACCATGTCTGAATACAGCACAGTGCAGAGGAGGACACTAGGTTCCATATTACAGACAGAGCAATTGATGGCTAAAGTAACTCGTCAAGATCAGTCAGGCAAGCAGCAGCAGAGACACCCAGCCACTCTTCCCTGCTGGTACTCGTCATGACCTCTATCCATGATGGCATTCCTGCTCCAGCTTTCACAGTGTGCTGTTTTGGTTGACACTTCTTATCTTTGTCAAGGAGAGAGCTTTAAGCTAAAGTTACAGAAAAGGATTCAGCAAATCTCTCTCTCTCTGTCTCTCTCTGTCTCTGTCTCTCTCTCTCTCTCTGTCTCCCTCTCTCTTTTCTTTTCAACCACAGGGAATCACTCTGTAGCTGGCCTCAAACTCACACATTGGCCTCCTGAGTGCTGGAGTGCAGGCCTGTCCCATCACGCCTTGCTTCTTTCTTTAAGCAGCTTCCTATAGAAGCTGCTGGGTTGGTGTCTATGTTCAGTCATGCTGAAATCTGCCCTTTTAAAACCAATTCTTTCAGGAAAAAAATAAACAAGAGGAGCATGGACTCTGGAGCCAACCCTGTAGAGATGCAGATGTAGTCGTCTCTGTCGTGTTACCATGTGCTTCTAAGAACATGGTTGGAATCTTTGCCAGCCCCAATTATTTTTGTCTCTAGAACAGAAAGTTTTACAATGATTACTCCATAGTTTTGTGTGAGACTAAATGAAGTGATTAATGCATACATTACATATAATACAATATATAACTACCTTGTACACTGCAGAGTGCACTACAGGACTTTTAACCATTGGAGGCAATTCTTACCAAGTGATAAGTATTTCACAAACAGCACACATTCTATTTGATTCCAACAATAATCCTAAATGAGGAAAGCCAAAAGAGGTTAAGTAGCATGTGCCCCAAGTCACAATTATTTTGAGGCTGGCAGAAGTTCATGACCATGGAAACAAAATCTAGACTCGATTTCATTCCAACAGTGTTGACTCTGAGGTAACTGGTAAATAATGAGGTTTGAATTTAACCTCAGGCTGGCCTAAACTCAGAACTAAGTCTCTGTGATGGTGTGTACTGTCTCTTTAAATCCATTTCTTTATATATTAAATCTCTTTATATGAAATATATCAGAGGTGGAGAACTAACTGTCGTCTATTTTCAGGAGAGTGAGTATTAACGGGGAACGAAAGGGCATGGGCCCTCTCTGATGTCTATCGTGCTGTTACCTAATGAACAGCACTGTATGAGCGGGTTCTGTGTTAATTTGGAATTAATTAGCAATTCTGCAGGTGACCTTACCAGAACTTGTGGTGCAGTTATAGTTATTCACTCTAAAATCTTGAGACTCGTCTGAGTATCTTGTAGCGATTACCTTGCATTGTCCAATCACCTGTAAAAGAGAGGATTTTAAGCCCTAATGGAACTATGTGCCTCAGATTGCCTATGAGGGACACACAGGACATGCTACACCATCTCACTTAAGGTGTATTTGGGGATTCTTCCATCAGTCTTGTCCCCAAGGGTTGCCTTTTTCGCCTCTCTGTGTGCTGTACACCATCGCCACCCCAAACCCTTATGAGAGCAACTGTTTAAGTGGATCGTGGCCACATCGCAAACATATTTCAAAGGAGACAGTACTAGGGCCCCTCGAAGTGTAAGACTCTCACTTCTGGAACTGACATCATGTCTGCTTATTTCTTTGTGTTCTCCTCTGTGACAGGGAGACTGACCTCAGTAACCAGGTCCAACATGCACAGCAAGGCCATATTGCTCACTGCGACTATGGCCATTATTGCAAACAGGACCACTCTTCAAGGTACACAATTCCCAGTTCATAAATTCATAGACCGTGTGGTCTGGAAATGACACGGGAGTCCCCCTATTTCAATGCTCTTACTTTAGAGTTGAGGAGACTGAAGTCTAAGATGATTGGTGATTTGCCCCAAACTGGCAGCTGGTGGTGTTATTCCTGGTGGGGGGCAGGCACAAGCCCTACTGACTTACCTTCAACGGGGTTCTCAGGAATGACTCTTGTCATTTAAGGTTGACATCATCTTCATGACTAAGGAAGGCATCAACAGCTTTTTCTAGCCCATATGTGGCTTTTCTGGGTGAACGGAATGGACAGAAGAAACTTAAGAGGAACACTGGGCCCAGTTACTTACTATTTCAGATGGCCGTCTAGAAACATCTAGAAGACAGGCATCCCGGGATTTTGTGGATAAGACCCAACAGTCAGATTCTTTCACATCTAGGACTAAGTAGTAGACGGTGGCATTTCCCTGAGGATGACAAGTAAGAAACGGGTCAGTAGGATGTGGGAACCCAAAGATTCCTTGTTTTGGTTTGTTTCTCTTTCTTTCTTTCTTTCTCTCTTTCTTTCTTTCTTTCTTTCTTTCTTTCTTTCTTTCTCTCTCTCTCTCTCTCTCTTTCTCTCTCTCTCTCTCTCCCTCCCTCCCTCCCTCCCTCCCTCTCTCCCTCCCTTCCTTCCTTCCTTCCTTCCTTTCTTTTTTGTTTTGAGACAGGGTTTTTCTGTGTAGCTTTGGAACCGGTCCTGGCACTCGCTCTGTAGACCAGGCTAGCCTTGAACTCACAGAGATCTGCCTGCCTCTGCCTCCCGAGTGCTGGGATTAAAAGCGTGCACCACCAACGCCTGGCTTGTTTTTGTTTTTAATGAAAGCAATTTCTTACTTTCTCTTCCCTTCCTTTCCTTCCCTTGTCCTCCTCTTCCCTCCTCTTTCTGTTTTCCTGTTCCCTGCTCCTTTTCTTTCCTTTTAAGAACAGGATCCCAGGATGTGACAACCCAAGCTGGCTTAGAATAGATCTTCTGGCTTCACATTCCCAAGTGCTGAGGTTACGGGCATATGCACCACTATGCCTGGCAGCAATCTCCTTTCTTAAACAAAATTTCTTGGTATACCCAAATCTGTTCGGATATTCTATTGTGTCCTTTAATCTACATGTTTGAGTAAACAGCTTCAAACAGTGATGTCTAAATCCTCTCCTTAAGGACCAGGATGTCTCTTCTCTGGCCTTCAAAAAGCTGTCACTAAATGGCCCTGTTGGTTTGCTCATCAGTGGCTTCATTAATCCTTTAGTTGGGTTCAGGTTATACAAATGTAAACTGCATGGGCCCAGGGCTCATACCTATGACTCCAAAGCTCAGGAGGCTCAAGAGTTCAAGATCAGCCTAAGCTATTAATAGCAACAGCAGCAGCCAAACAAAACAAGCAAGGAAAAAGATAAATGAATCTTGCTTTGATCCGTTTCTTTGCTTTGGCCTATCACCAACCAGGCTGAATGGCTTTTCATTAAAATGTCTCTTGTGTCCTCTCTATTGTTTTCCCTTTGCTGCTGCCTCGGTCTGGTCCTCCCTTCCGAATTCCCGAATACCTGAAAATCTTCTTAGTTCATGTCCCTGTCTCCTGCTTCTGTCTCCTCTATCTCATTGTGTCCCCTCCTCCCACCTCTCTGTACTACCATTCAGAATTAGCGCCATGCTCTCCCATCCTGTGTCTGACACTTGTGGCAAAGAGCTTAGAGGGGTAGAGCTGGCCATTAAATTGTTTGTTGTCTTAAGTTCCCGTGCTCCCGTTTTCTGCACTTAGCCGTGCCTCCTCATCTCCAATGCTGTAAAAACTATAAACTGCTTTATGTGTTGTCTGTAGTTGTCCATGTCTGGCTTCTCATGGTTCTGGTTTCCCGCTTTCAGACATTCCACCAGAGAAAATGTGGGATATTGTTGCTGTTACTGTTATTGCTGCAGTGGGAGGAATCAGCATCCTCCATAGTCCCTATCAAATCCATTCTAAACAACCATATAGTCTAAATGAAGATAACAAGTTTTCGGGCTTTGAGATAAACCTGTACTCTCTCCCAGCTTCACACTGAATTTGGGCCTTCCCAGAGCCCTGTTCAACTTCTGTAACTCTCTGATTATTCAATTGCTTTGCAACACACCTCTTTCGGATTCCCGGCTCTCCTAGAGGAGATAATGTGCTAGAATACATCAATTCAAATCCTATCTATCCTCCAGAACCCACCAGCACCTTTCTTTGCCTTTCGTATTAAGAGAACTGTCATTAAATCGCTCCAACATCTTGGGCTGGCACATGGTCACAAAATATGTCCTCTGTTACACAATTGGCCTATGTGCCTTTAGCAGACTGGTGTTTCCTTGAGGCACACAGCTATTCTAGTTTTTTTTTTTTTTTTTTTTTTTTTTTTTTTTGTGGGTTGAAGGGATCAGCCCCCCTTTCGGCAGCCATAACAACCGAACACGTGCTTGCCATAAACCTGCCTTGGTCACTTAGAGGTCAGATGCCTGTCTCATGACAAGGAACCCATCAGAAGTTAGTTAGTCACTAGAAAGTCAGATGCCTGCCTCGTGACAAGGAACCAATCAGAAGTTAGCTGGTGGTGCTATGCTTTATGACCCTGGGTGTGCTTTACAGACAAGCGCACAGCAATGACGCACAAAGCATAGCAACCACCCTGGGAGGGCCTATGGGCCATAACAACCAGTTGACCAATCAACACAGGGCAAACCCTTCAAGCCTGGAGGCACGCCAATCCTGAGCCTGTGCATACCCCTAGACACTCCCCTTATGCTGCCAACGCTGCCCTATAAAGATCTGTATGCAGTAGCTTCGAACTGTCTTTGCTAGTCATCCGCCATGGTGGGTGAGTCAAAGACCCGAGCTAACATGGGGTTAGCTGGTTAAACTACAATAAAGCCTCATGTAATTTGCATCAAACTTTCGCCTCCATTCTGTGATGGGGTGGCCGTGGTTCTGGGCTAAGATTCTGGAAGCCTCAGCTTTCCGAGGGTCTTACGGTGGTCAGTATTCCATGGGCTCAGTATAGCTCTTCTGGGTCCTTACAGACTGATGCATAGATAATGATCTGTCAATAACAAACATTAGTTTAGAGGCAAACCCAACAATATTGAGCAAGCCTCAGAAACTAAACAGGAAAGCCTGATCAAAGCCACTAATTATGCAAGGCAGTCTGCTCAGGGGCACCAGTTCCTTTTCCCCTTCGGCTCCCAGCTCGGCTCCTCATTGGCCATTTCTCACCACTCTGTCCAGGTGAGCATCAGCGACTCGCAGCAGCTCGAAAGCATAGCCATTCCTCCGCCCTTTATTGATCAGGTCTAGAACTCTCTCAGCCGAAGGCTCGGAAGCATCACAGTTGGTGGGACTCAGGGCATGACAATACTGCAGGGTGACTAGAAGCAATGCTGTGGTGAGCACATTCATTGTGCTAAACCATCCTAGGCTGTGGTCCCCCATGGCAGAGGACTCTACAGTGACACAGACTCAATTGATGAAGGTCTTTATAGAGTTTGGTTGTATAACTGGGGATGGTCACCTTGACCCCAGGTTCAAATGTCTGTCAACAGTCTGTAAATGATTAGTGGAGAAAGTTGAGACATAATACTGGAGAGAGGGTAAGATTATCATTCACACCACCTTGGCTACATCCGGTGGACAACTGGCTCAGGGTGTCTTAGACCCTAAACATTTACTGTGTGGGTGTGGGGATGGAGTTGGAAGTAAGTTTTCTTTTATCTGTCTCAGTTGGAGATCTCGACTATCAGCTGCCTCTATGGACTACAGCACTAAAATTCCTCTGTGGAACGTGGCTGTATTATCTGAAGGAAGTAACACATTCAACAGCCTGGCCCTTGAAGGGCATGGAATCAGATGGGGATTTCTAGCCTTGGCTCTGTTACTTTCTTCCTGTGTAATGCTGTAGAACTCCTCTGTTTACTCACTGTTCTATTACTGTGAAGAGACACCATGACCATGGCAACTCTTATAAAGGAAAACATTTATTTGGGGCTGGCTTACAGTTCAGCCATTAGTCCATTATCATCATGGTGGGAAGCATAGAGGCTGGAAGATGCCCATGGTGTTGGGGAAGTAGCTGAAAGTTCTACATCTTTAGGCAGCAGGAAGAGAGAACCACTGGGTCATACACACTTCCTCCAACAAGGCCACACCTGCTCCAACAAAGCCACACTTCCTAATCCTTCTCAAGTAGTGACACTCCCTGATGACTAAGCATTCCAATATACATGAGCCTATGGGGGTGTCTTAGTGAAGTTACTATTGTTGTGATGAAATTCCATGGCCAAAAGCAACTTGGGAAGGAAAGTTTATTTGGCTAACACTTCCACATCAGCATTCATCATTGAAGAAAATCAGGACAGGGACCCAAACAGGGCAGGAAACTGGAGGCAGGAGCTGATGCAGAGGCCATGGAGGAGTGCCTCTTACTGGCTTCCTTCCTGTGGCTTGCTCAGCCTACATTCTTATAGAACCCCCTTCCCTATCAATCACTAAGAAAATGTCTTACAGGCTTCCTACAGCCTGATCTTATGAAGGCATTTCCTTCTCTTCTCTTCTCTTCTCTTTTCTCTTCTTTCTACTTTTCTTCCTTCCCCCCTCTCTCCCTCTTTCCCTCCCTTCCTTCCTTTTTTTGTTTTTTTTGAGACAAGATTTCTCCATGTAGCCCTGGCTGTCCTGAAACTCCCTCTGTAGATCAGGCTGGCTTTGAACTCAAAGATCTGCCTGTCTGTTCCTCTGGAGTTCTGGATTAAGGACATGCATCACCACAGCCCAGTTTGGAGGCATTTTCTCAATTGAGGTTTCCTACTCTTAGATAATTTTAGCTTGTATCGAGTTGATATAAAATATTCAGCACTGGCAGGGGGGCATTCTTATTCAAACCACCATAGCCCCTGACTCTTAAGTTTCTTCATTTATAAACTATGAACTGATAGTTCTTGGCAATATTGTGCAATGAATAAGAAGCTATGTGTAGGTCAGTCAGTGCATGGAATAACTGCTGAGTTACTGATGCCACTTGCTGTTACTAGTGTCTGTGTTATAACCAGGGGCACTTCCCCAGTTATGTGTGACTCTTACTGTAAACCCCATGAAAGAAGATAGTGGTGAGATGGACAGGGGCTGAGAAATTGGGTGACTATCTTATTTGGAGAAGGGCTCAGCTCTGGGAACAGGGATGAATACAGCAACGCCGACCCGACCCCTCCAAAGTGTGGAACACCTGCAGAGGCTATAGTTTCAGAAAGAAGTGAACCCAAGAGTACTTGCCTAGGTTTCCTTCTCACTACTGCATGTAGTGTCTCTACAGCATGTCATCTCTTCCTAAATGATCTCTATAGTGAGGATCTGCAACAATGGTTAGACACACTCACAGAACTTTAAGAAAGGTCCTAATTTGGGGATAGAGATACTACTGGGTGGTAGACTCTTGTGGAACACATGCGAAGTCCTGGGTTCATATCCAACAAATGGAAACATATCAGTGCATGCATCCAGATCCTTTTAGTTAGAATCAGGGTCTGGGCACTGGCAGTTTTCAGATTCTAGGTAACTCCAAAGTATTGCAAAACTGAGAAGGAAGACGAAAAAGTAATTAAGACAGAGACACATTGATGGGGTCTATATGTGGTGATGCAATGTCATGAAAATATCTCTTCATGCTCAGACACTCTTGGTAGGTCTCACAACCAAAGTTAATAATAAACTTTGAGGTCACTTAAGATCTAAGACTGCTACCCTACTTACTGTGTACTCAGCCTGTTTATTTAATGTGCTTTTAAGGGAACAGTGTGACCATCAAACTTATTTGCCTTGGCTAGCCCATTAAATCAACTTTTGTTTGCTTTGTTTGTTTGCTTGTTTGTTTGTTTGTTTGAGATAAGGTTTCTCTGTGTAGGCCTGGCTGTCCTGGATCTCACTCTATAGACGAGGATGGCCTCTAACTCAGAGGTCAAGTGTTGGGATTAAAGGCATGTGCCACCACTGCCTGGCTGAAGACAACTTTTACAATGTACACTAATGTATAGCTGTAATTTTAACATGCCCCTTACCCATGAATAATGCATGTGTCTTTGTGGTTGGAAACAGCTTTATATAATACTTCACAAGTATTGGATGCAATGTATGGATATTGCTTGAGAAACAATGATGTTTGTAATACTGTTTGTTGCCTGGGTGAGTTGGGATCAGTTGGAGTCAGTGACTTAATTCCTAGTAAAACTCTGTTAAAGATTTCTGTAAAGTGCTTCTTATTCCTTCCCTGTGTGTACTCTTTAATAAATACAAAACAGAAGCTCTCTGTTAGGGATACACAGAAATAAGGGGGCAACAGATTGATAAGACAGGCATAGATTCAGACTCTTACCCCAGATACAGGGAAAGCAGAGTAGATTATTCAAATGTGTGCTCACTCTTGTTTAAATGACACCAAGAGGAAATGCTTTTATTTCTGTAAATGCAACACTGATGCATTATTGGTGACTCTTGGTATTATTAATGTGTTCAAAATAACATTGTTAACCAAAGGCCAAGGCTGGTTCTAGAAATACAAGGAACACATTTGGTACAGTATTCAAGACTGAGCTTTAAATCATTACCATTGGCCTGTGAAGACCCAACACTGTGACCCAGAATCCCAGGAATAGCAGGGAGGTCCAAGAGTAACTTTCAGGGATTGACTCTCTTCTTCCTACCTTGTGGGTCTTGAAGATCAGACTCAAATCATCAGGATTGGTAGCAATCACCTTTCCCCACTGAACTATCTCACCAGTCCAGCAATAGCTGTAATACCACATAACTAGAAATACTCAACTCTTGCAGTTCTAGAGCAATTAGCATTAGCAATCTGCAAACCACTGATTATTTGACAAGGTTGAGATTGGTTGACTTGTTCACATGGAATTTGCAGACTGAGGAAAAAAAAAGATTAAGATCTGGAAACTAGAGAAACTGCATCTAAGAGGTGAGGCAGAGAAGAGGAACTTGAGTTTGGGTCTCACAGGGTGTTGTCCACAAGGCAAGAGGCACAGAGGTGGGGTACTATTTCTGTTTGAGGAAGTTTGAGGAGTAGTAGACAAGTTAGCCTTGCAGCAACTGAAAGGGTGTAAGTAAATGTAAATAAACACTGTGCTTTGACTTTAGCCTAAGGATGTGCTTAGCATCCAATGAGCAGATTGTAGAAAAGAAAGAATAGTGGGTAAGGGAAATGGTAAGCATGGGAACAGCCCACTTCATCAAGAATTTAGTCAAGAAAAGGAGGAGGTCAGAGTAAGAGGAGTCACAAAGCCCAAGGCCCTTTCCCACCGTCCTTTCAGTACATGTGTGGCTTATAGATTACCCTTAGGAAAATCCTCTGCTGGGTCTGGTGATCGTCTTTCTATGTTTGCCCCTAGATCTACCTCTGTTTGATTTTGTCTGCCTGGCCCTATGTCCCAGGATTCCCAGGGATTGGTGAATGCTGGCTTTCCTGCTGGTTGGTTGCTTTTGGGTTCAAAGAACTGAGGTGTAGAGAAGAGAGGAAGGAAAGAGGAAGAAGGTAGTGTGTTTATTCAAATGATGAGTCTTAGGTTCTCTATCCTATCACCAAGACTGCTCCTGCAAAGCAGCCCCGGACCCACAGCTCAGCCCACACAGGGTTGGGGTAGCCTGCCACTTCTCTTCCTGCCTTCTTGGCCTGGGGTGCTGCTATAGGCCTCCTATTGTGGCTATTCTTCGGTACCTCAACATATTTTGTCAGTTCCTTCCTAGCCTAAGGGGAGTTATTACAGATACTCACTGATACCTTTTTAGTTGGATTGAGTGCCATTCTACTTCTTGTCAGACCCTGACTGATCTTGCCTGCCTGGGCACATGTATGTTTCCAACTGAAAGGAAAATTTCCCGTGATTTCTTAAATACACAGAAAAGAAGACCACAACCGAATGTCATGATGGGCCCTTCAAGTCTATCCAAGTTTGTTCTGAGGGTTTCTATAGCAATGGAGAGTGGTGTATATGGTGTTCCCAATGGATGGCACAGGATGGACACACACACACACACACACACACACACACACACACACAGAGAGAGAGAGAGCGAGAGAGAGAGAGAGAGAGAGAGAGAGAGAGAGAGAGAGAGTTCTCTTCCATGCTTTCCTGTCTCAGTGAGGGGGACCCCTGTCAAGACTCCATACCTTGAAGGTAGTTAAAAAGAGGCCCAGGGTTGGAAATAGTTCAGACAACCCAAGTTAGTTCTTTTAAGTATAGGGGAGGCAAAGAGAGGATTAGGGAGATGTGTTTATCCGTCCACAGATGGCACCTGTAAAGCTGAGTATATACACTGGCTGACATGGTAAGTGAGAGGTCAAAACCAGAAAGGTGGGGTAGAGTGTGTCCTGATACAGCACCCACGAGGTTCCCATCTGTGATGGTTGAAGATCACCCACGTTCCTAAACACCAACATTATTCATTCATGGAAATACTTCCACAGGAGAAAAGGAATCCAGACTGACCAACACACTCCAGTAACAGGCCCACTGTCCAACAACTCTAACAGAAAGCTCATTTGTGAACCAAATCAGGTGGCCTGCCAAGAAACTATAGATGTTGTGACTACCGTGATTATGGTAAGTCCACAGTTCTTCAAACATCCAGGCACTAACAAATGCCACATTGTTCAAATACAGTCATGGAAAGTGTTAACTTTCAAACCTGGGACAAACAGCTGAGGTGCCTATTTAACATATCAAAGCAGACCTGGCCTCTAGATTCTCCCAGCGTCCTCAGCCCCTACCTGTTATAGCATATGGCTCACAAAACCCGCCTTCTACCCTGAACTCTGCAGCCCAGGGGCTGGGCTGCCCTTCCCCCAGAGGCTCTTCCCTATGTAATCCAGACATTTTGGTTACTCGCCCCTTTTTGGATCTTTGACCTCCTAGCTGCTGCACATGGTTCCCCTTTCTCTCTTCTTTTCTTCCTCTCCCATATGGCCCAGCTCAGTCTGGTCATGTCCACTCTGGACTCTCCCAGATATCCCCACCTCTGACTATGCTCTTCCACGTATCTATAATAAACTTTCTCCTCCGCCACACCTAGCAGCATCATGTCTTCTCCTTTCCTTTTTATTTTTTTTTCCATTCTGAGAGAAAGCACCAGAAATCTACCATAAAAAATGTAGAGATATGAGCTGCTTGACAAAGAGTTCAAAGTAATTGCTTTAAGAGAAATGTAAAGAAACAATTCAGCAAACTAAGAAACAAAACAGTTTTTATGTTACCTATGGAGAAACTGAGTGGGTGCTCAACTAGAAGCTTTCCTCCTAGTGACCAGCCTTCTGGTCTGGTTCTACAAGGTGTTCTGCACACTACTGGAGAAGAAAATTAATTAGTAGTCCCTCATAGCTACAAAATAGCAACTTACCTGCAAGATATACCCACTGATGCAATAATGGCACAGGTGTTGTTGGGAGTAACCACCTACTTCTTGTGTGGATCCAAGTCTTGTTCTAAGTGATGGAACAAACCCATACCCAATATGTTAATAAAGCCAAGAACCTGAGACTAGATAAGTCATGGTTTCCAGGGGAAAACTATTACTATTATTCTGCTAAATGAACATAGCAACAAAATGTATCCAAATGACACATTACTGTAACCACAGATCAGAGTATTGCTCAGCCTTCATCAGGGAAGCTTATTTTAGTAGTAGATGGTAGTTAACACCCAGACCCACAAATTGAACAATGTGAAGAAAGCCTGTGTCTGTAGTGGTTTAAAAGAAAATGGCCCCCCGAAAGGAGTGGCACTATTAGGAGGTGTGGCCTTGTTGAAGTAGGTGTGGCCTTGTTTGAGGAAGTGTGTCACTGTGGAGGTGGGCTTTGAGGATTCACATATGTTCAAACCATGCCCAATGTCTTAGTTCACTTCCTGCTGCCTCTAGATCAAGATGCAGAACTCTTAGCTCCTTCTCCAGCAACATGACAGCCTGCACGCCACCACGCTCCCGGTCATGATGATAATGGACTAAATCTCTGAAACTGTAAGCTGCCACCTCAATTAAATATTCTCCCTTATAAAAGGGACTGTGGTCATGTTTTCTCTTCACAGCAATAGAAACCCTAACTAAAACAAAACCCTTAATAGGATGACTTTATCAAACTTACGGCTCGGGGATCTTTGTGGAACAGGAGGTGGAAAGATTGTAAGAGCCAGAGGTGGTGGATGACTCCAAGGACACAGCATTTTCCAGATTTAACAGGACTAATTCACATGTGATCTCACGGACTGGCAGCATATAGACCTGCATATGCTCAAGCCAGATGAAATTCTAGCACAGAGAAGGGGATGTGGTCACCCCTGACCAAGAAGCAATTTGCCATTGATGATACCTGCTTCTAGAGGGAAAATCCATTTTCTTCAATGGAGCAACACTGGGTATATCAACCGCATTCTAGGGCAGGCCCCATGCTCAGCATAATAGACTCCGTGGTTTTGTTGTTTTTGTTTGTTTGTTTTGAGCCTTTAGGGGAAAGATTGGCTTTATGTGTGTCTGTGTCTCACCCCCCCACTCCCTTTTCAAGAACAAGAAAGAACATGAATTTGGGAGGAGTTCAAGAATGGAAGCAATATGATTAAAATATACTCTACAAAATATTTTAAAATAACTTTTAAGCCGGCGTTGGTGGCACATGCCTTTAATCCCAGCACTCAGGAGGTAGAGGCATGCGGACTTCTGTGAGTTCGAGGCCAGCCTGGTCTCCAGAGCGAGTGCCAGGATAGGCTCCAAAGCTACACAGAGAAACCCTGTCTCGAAAAACCAAAAAAAAAAAAAAAAAAAAAGTTTTAAAAAGAAAGCTGGAGGGTATCTAAAGTACCTCATCTAACAACATTGCCCTTTTATCATTAAAAATAAAATAAAAACAACCCAGACAAAAAGTTACCAGAAACTGAAATCATAGTCACAAGCTATATACAAAGAGCATTTAGGAGAGCAGTGCTCCATGTGTTACAATAGACCGGTTAAGTGAAATCATCTAGTGATATTACAGCTATTCTGGCTTATGTGTATCATGTCGGTTCTGCATGAGTAAAGATCTTTAAAAGATTAAAATAGGGAGAAACCAAAAGGCAGTTGGAGTCTGAGCAGTTTGTACAGGATACCCCCCAGCATACAGAACAAGACCAGTGTGGCCCAGAGTGGGGATTTAGTCTCATTTCCATTTCCAGTCACACACTGAGATCAAGATGCAAATAGGAGGGTTCACTTTATTAGCCTTTCTACATTTGATCGTCTGTCTCCTTCCCATTCCCACCACCTCTCATCTGGTGCAGGGGACCACATCTTATGGGAAGCCCTGTTTGTGATTCTCAGGGTGGGAGGATAAGAGGGTTGGTTCCCTCTGCTGGCCCGGGGCACTCGGTGGAGCGCCGTTCCGTTCCCGGGAATGGCAGCACCACCAGCTTCTTTTCCTCGGGCCCCAGGTAGAGGAAGGAAACATCCAGCGTGTCCCCCTGGGGATTCGTGGTTAGATCCAGCTGCACGGGAAAGGCTTCCACGGGACTCTTTTCCTTGGAGTCTTCGGGCTTCTCAACATCCAGGTCAGGCAGGTGCTGAACGGATCCTCTTGGAGCAGTTTTGGAGGGGGAGTTGGTGGGGGCGGTGTTTTTCTGAGGGGCCTCGTCCGCCGTGGGGAGTTTCTTAGACTCCTGGGTAGCAGCAGTGTTATCATCTCCAGGAACCTGAGCCTGAAACAACAGTGTTTTCAAATTCGGAATTCTACAGGGAATGCCAGCTCCAGGCAAAGCAGTTTTGTGGCTGCGCATTTGTAATGAGGTCTTAGACGTGGATAGCCTAGACTGGAAATCTTCCTCCCTTGCCTCAAGTCTTCTGAGTGCTGGGATTACAGGTTCTGGATGCTTACAGAAACCAGCTACAGCCGCAGCGGTTCTCAAGCTTCCTAATGCTGAGACCCTTTCCTTAATACAGTTTGTCATGTGTGGTGAACCCTGACCATAAAATTACTTTCATTGCTACTTCATAACTGCAATTTTGCTACTGATATGAATCATTCTGCAGATATCTGTTTGCTGATGGTCTTAGACCACCCCCATGAAAAGGTCATTCATCACCACCACCACCCCTCAGGGCCAAGGGGTCATGACCAACAGTTTGAGAAGCTACAGGGCTGGGCCTCCTAATACAAAGATTCATGAAAAAACACGTTAAGTGGCCAAGTGGAACCAAGGCCTGCAGAAACTGCTGTTTCCTTTCAGAGCAGTGGTTCAGAGGGGCTTAAGGATTTATTCAGATTCCCCTTTACTCCCAGGTGTGGCAGCAAATGGCCTCTTTTATTGTTTGTTTTGTGCCAGTCCTGGTATGACACCCTTCATCCCAGTCCTCTCTAAGGTGGGTCCACCTTAGGAATCAGAACCAGCAGGCGATGAGGGTAGCAAGACCCAGACACAGAAGGTGGGTGCCTGTGGCCACACAGCTTGTAGGGGCAGAGCAGGGATGAAGGCCAGGCAGCCTGACTGGTCGGATCAGGCTACCCCATAATAAATACTAGGGATTGGACGTTTTCATGGAAGTGAGCCTCCCTGAGATGAGAGAGGTAGCTCTGAGATACTGAATTTAGCACCTTGAAGGCTTGAGCTAGGCAAGTTTGTAGTTCACTGTTTCTGAGTGTTTTCCTTTATTCTACAGGGCCACACTGTGACTAAAATAGCAGGATAATCTTCTCTCTTTTAGGTATGGGCTTAGATGGCCTAAGTAAAGTGACCCTGGATCTTGAGAAAACCAAAAGTAGGTGGGGAATAGGCCCCTAGAGATAGATGGTCTGATTCCATTGGAAATCACGGGGTTAGGATGAGAGGCTCAATTGGGGAAAGCCACACTCCTGCAAGCCCAGTGGCCTGAGTCCCAGGCCCCAGAACCCACGTGAAGGTGAAGGAGAGAACAAACCACCAAGTTGCCATGTGCTCATATACTACATTTGCAAACACACACTAATAATACTATTTAAAAAAAGAGAGATAAATACCTGAGATTCGAAAAACTCACAAGTCACAGAGACACTCTTTTTTCGAATCAGAGCTGGTACTTGAACTGATCCTTGAACCATAGAACCATGGCAAAAGCCGACAGGCTAAAAGAAAGACATGTGAGTATTAAGTCACCGGTGAGCAGAGCCCCTGCTTTCTGCTGTGTAGACACACAGCTGCACCACGTTTTCCTGCTCCTGCCTTGAAAGAGGGCATGACTCAGCCAGTTCCCTCTGAATTACCTAAAAACAACCAGGTGCAGCTTGGGAACAGTGGTTTTTTACGAAGTTCTTCCTGTGCCTACACCTTGCTCACTGCCTGGCCCTGGGTCTGTCATTATGCACTGTCCATTGCCTGGGTCTGCTATTGGCTCAATTAGGAAGGTTGGTTGTTTCCTCTTTACAGGAACCCTTAATGTGCTCCAAATGAAGTTTTGTCTTCTCAGGCAAAAACACTCTCAGCTCCTTCAGTTTCTGTCTATTTGAAAATAAAACTACTTTTAGAAAATGATAAAGGTAAAGCCGGGTGGTGGTGTCACACACCTTTAATCCCAGCACTCAGGAGGCAGAGGCAGGCAGATCTTTGTGAGTTCAAGGCCAGCTTGGTTTACAGAGCTACACAGAAAAACCCTGTCTCAAAAAAAATAAAGATAATAAATTATTTAGAACTACATAAATAAAGAGCCACGACCTGTAACTCCATAAATGGTTCTCATTGCCTGCAAACCTTTGACATTTTCTTCTAATCTTTTCCCTACTCATGCATATTTTTCTTCTAAGCAGTTAGATCATATTACATATGATATTTTATAACTATTTTGTCACTGAGCAATATATTATAAAAATCTTTGTATGGCACTGGACAATCTTCTATGTTTTTCTTTGTTGTTGTTGTTTGTTTTGATGATTATCTTTATGATGGCTATGGCTACCTAGTATTTCTCTTCATTTAATAAAGTCTCTTGTCAAACAACTAGATTTAATGTAATTTTTTTAAACATTGAAACTATTTTTTTCATGTATCTCTAGTTTTTTCCTTAGAGTAAATCTTTATGTGGCAGTTTGAATGAGAATGTCTCCTATATGCTTATCTATTTGAATCCTTGGGCCCCAGTTGGTGGAACTCTTTGGGAAGGATTGGGAGGTGTGCCACTGAGGGTGGACTATGAGGTTTCAAACACCTAGACCATTTCCAGTTAGTTCTGTCTGCCTCCTACTTGTGGATCAAGATGCAAGCTCTTCAGCTTCCAGGACAATGCCTACCTGCTTTTTGCCATGCTCCCTACCATGATGGCCGTGGATGCTAACCCTCTGAAATTGTAATCCCCAAATAAACTCGGTCTTCTATATGTTTCCTTCGTCATGGTGTCTTATCACAGCAATAGCAAAGTAACAAGAGACCTTAGAAGAATTATTTTAAGATCATAGAATATGTTCATTTTCAATGATAAGTGAACTATTATAATAAAATTCTGCCTCAAACTCCAAAAAAGAGCTCTTGGGCATATCCAAATAAAAGTTACCAAATTACATCTGAACTGGTTGTCTGAACATTATATCCTTCTCCAGGTCACATGAAGAAAAAACCAGAAATTCTTCAAGGTGGGAAAATCATTAACGTAACATGGCACCCCAGTCTTCCCTTTTGCTTTCATCTCCATGGTCAGGAGCTCTAGGAGAACTTTCCAGAGAAACTGCAGGTTCCTCTGGCTAGAACAGCTGGCTACTCCACACTAGCTAGACTTTTCTTCATTATTTAAATGTGTGGACTTCCTGGTGCTGCACTCGAGTGGAGGGGACTGTGGTGTCTGTACCTTAGTGTCACTACCCACTGGCTAGTCTGATGGAGTTAATTGTTTCAGTTTCCTTTTAAAATAAATACTTCTCCCCCACTCTGATTCCATTTGTATGAACTGTCTAAGTGGACAAAGCCATTGAGACAGAAATCAGATTCACAGTTTCCCGGAGCTTTAGAGGGCAGCAATGGGGACTGATTTCATGGAGATGGGTTTCTTTTGAGAGTGAATTATAATACTCAAAAATTATGAAGTGGTTATGGTGGCACAGGTCTGTGAATATACTACAAAAATGGAGTTAACTGCCTTAAGAGGGTGAATCTTATTGTACATGAACTGTATCGCAATAGAGCACTCAATACAGCTTTGCCCAATTGTGCTCCAACACGCCATGCTGAATGACATCTCCCATTATATTTCCAATAGTTTTGGGGTACTCTAATCTTTATTTTACTTAGCCTTTCTTTCGTGAAGAGTGATCCAAAGAATGGAACACCGTGCTGTATTCCATGTCCTCCTGTGATTTTTCTTTTCTTTGAAATTTTATTACAATGATGATGAAAATCCTATCACTGAGTCTCTAACTGAGACTCTCTAAGACCTGGCCAGTCTCTAATTATCTGAGGCATGGAGAAGCATCCTGTGTTCTGTGCCACCCTCAATGTAATCTGTGCCCAACAAATACTGGTGATCTGTGAACGCATGCAGATTTTACCACAGCCAGGAACACTCACCGCCGAGTCGGAGGACTGAAGTGAACAGCTAGCCTGGGATTCAGTACATGGTGACTCTTTGATCAAAAAATCCACAGAGTAAGCAGGGCCAACCACCCACTGTTGTGAAATAAGAGTTAAGACATTAAAAAGTATTACTCCAGGGAAAAGTCAGGATTGGCAACCTTCCTTGTATAGAACTGTCAACAGAGTGAGGCATGGTCAACACACAAACAACACACTGTTCCTAAAAGTTCTCACGGGTACCAAGCCATGTCAGTAATTTTGCTCTTTAGAAAATATAAATCAGTGCCCTTCCCTGTTAAGGATGTGAAGGATGCCCTAACATCTTCTCTTAGCTTATTTTTCCTTGTGGAGATTTGTCTTATATGTGTTTATGTAAGAGAGATAACAACACAATTGAAATATAAATGAGCCTCTTAATCCATAACTCAGAAAACTCAACACCTACCCAAGGTCTTAATGAAGCAAAAGTTGTCTTGCTAAATGGTTCATAATCCATCAGAAAGCAGCGCATTTATGCCCCCCCCCATGAGACTATGAATCTGTTTTTCTTGCTTTAAGGTTGGAGAAATGAAATCAAGGCACCTGATACTTGTACAAATTGCAAAGAAAAGTGGAAGCTGTAACATGACTGAATACACACAGATGTGCTAGAGATGGGACTGGAGAGAAAGGACCTCAGGGCCTAAGCAGACAGAAGTCCTAGGTAGCCTCCTCCCAACCTAAGACCTGCAGCTATAGTCTGCATAACAGACCCGGGCATTTTAGTTTTACCTGGGTAGTAGCCCTGGTGACTTTAACAAGTGAGTACTGTTTCGAGGGGTTCTCTCTGTTGAACTTTGCAAGTGACTCCGTGGCAGCTTCCAGAACACTGGGGGCCGACAAGTCAACGGGGAAGGGGCAGTCAGGACACATGGATTGAATCTTTCTTTGAGAAACTATTGATGAGAAGTTTTTAAAATATTATTAATTTTCAGTCCTAATAAGAGTCATAATCATACAACTATATATAACCCAGGCAGAACAAACTAAACTGATAATACCCAGTGTTGGCAAGGAGGCAGTGAGAAAGACGATTTTTTGAGAAAGCACTTAGTTGTTGGCAGTATGATAGTTAGCAGGGTAGTATTCTTTCTTTATCTTTGCCTCCCTCCCTTCCTTTTTGAAATAAGGTCTCATGTACCCCAGGCTGGCCTGTGCAATCAAAGGGGCCCTTTAACTCCTGGTCTTCTTGCCAGGGCTAGGCTTGCAGGCATGTACCCTTGTGCTTGGCTTTTGTAGTGCTAGCATCAAAGCAGGGCTTCATGCATGCTCAACACTCCAGACCTGAGCTAATGTCCAGTTTCTGAACACTATTACTTTTGTAGTCAAAAAGAGATCAAAGGAAGATAGTCTTCACCTCTAATGGACTTATTTGCTATAGGAATGTGTTCAGAAGCACACAGGGCATGCCCAACCAACAACCTGTGGGGTACACAGAGTCAAAGAGAACAATGAACATGGCCCAGCATGAAATGGTAAACATACTTAAAACATTATGAAAAAACTTGCAACTCAATTACTCAGTTCTTACATATGAACTTTGTAGATGACAACATTGTATTTCAATGCCAAAACAGTGGACACATCAGTCCCCTCCCTAATTCAATGTCCTTTCTCTTTACTGCTCAGATAAACAAGGGCCTTTGTAAGGTTGGTGTTTCATTACTGACATGACTTACTTCTCTGTGATCCTTAATGCCAAGAATAAAATCTATCACATAGTGACTATACAGAGAATCCTGTATATGATACTCACTGTAAAATCCATGTCACAATGGTAGGAACATACCACCTTTGTTTAGAAATGCAAATAAGTCAGAAAGTAAAACTGGCCACACCATGATGCCATCAGTACAGTAACAGTCTCTTTGGGAAGAGATGGAGCTGGCAAATGTACACTCATCAAGGCAGAGAATTTGCCTTGGAGTGTTTTCAGAGAAAATCTACTGTCTTAACTAATGGATGTTAGGGAATGGAGGAAGATGGTGGGAGAGCCATGTCCACAGCTTGCCACTGGTGCCTCATAGCAAGTCCCCATACCTATGAAATTACTGGCACTCTTTTCAGTTGTCCTCTGATTTATTTCAGACTGGTCCTGTGTTCACACTGTAAGCTGTGGCTTGTACAGTGTTTGCTCCAGGGCTTCCTTACCCCAAGGAAGCAGCAGCAGCATCGTGGCCATCTGGAGTTTGTTAGAAACTCAGGCCCTCAGGCCCCGACAGGCCCATGGAATCAGAGTCTACACTTTGACAAGATTCATGGGGAGAGTGCATGCACGTGTCTGTTAAGTGGACACTTTCCGCCTTCCCATGCAATGGACTCCCGCTTTTCCACCACCTTCTCTTGTACAAGAGGAATGAACCCATTTATTTCAATTGTCCATTCATCTTGGCCTTATTCTTGCCTGTTATTCAGCAACGGTATTGACTTTTTAAATTTGGTATAGGCTAGGAAGTCTTTAGCTGGGGGCGAGGGATGTGCATCCCATATGATAGATGGTGTAAGACTATAAAATAAGGCCATGCATGTTCTGTACTTTGAGTGTTTTAGCCAAAGTGGAGAAACTGTACAGTGGGAAAGCAACATTCCTTTGGCATCATGAAAGCAGCACTGGGACATTCCTTAAAGAAGGGGTTTGAGTTACCAGGCAGAGGTCAGCAAGGGCATAATCAGTGGAGGGAGAGGCTCAGGCAACTGCAGAAATGGATCCATGTGATGTGTGTTCGTATGAGTGACATATCCTTTGCGAGGGTGACAGGAGGTCAATGGCATAGACAGAAAGGAACCTGGAATCAGCTGTTGGTACTGTGACACTCGGAGGAGATTGAAAATTTAGGATTGGAAGTATATCCTGGCTCTTGATAATGATTTAGGAGGAGAACATAGTGAATGCAGGCAGGAAGGCAGTTCTGGAGGACCGAGCAATGGGTGCCATGGAGAACACAGAGTAAGGGAGGAGATATTGCATGCCAACTTGACAAAGCCTTAGTTAAATGCCTCCCCCCCTATCTTTTATTATTAAAAGGTACCGAACCCTCTTGACTCTCACCTGGGCGAAGAGTACAGTTATAAGCAAGTAGATAGAGAACTCTTCTTGGCCTGTTAATGTGAAACATTGCTTTGCATTGACCATAAACCTAGAAAAAAACAAATACACTTGATGGCATGATGCTGAGAACCATGAAATTAACACATCCCCCCCCCACCTCCACCCTCCCATGCCAAGTAGAATTTTGTTTTAATGTAACGAGAAACTTAAAATCAAGGTCTGTGGTTTGGGGGTGGGAAGAACTGCTGTTTGTCATCAGACTGTTGCCTTTTCCTGAGGCACAGCCACCTTCCCAGCCTCTTCGCATTTAGGTATGGATCCTTGTAACTTAGGAATGGAGAGGAAACAGTTTTCCATTGCCACACCTCACTGCCACTGTCTGCATGTTTTCTTTCTCCATCCTTGGTCATTTGACAGCCTCATGCCAGTGAGCCTGGGGACTAGGGAGCCACAGTTGGAGGTGGCAAGGTCAGAGAGAAGCACAGCAGGAAGCAAGGTCTCCAAATCATTCCCAGGATAAACCCTCCTGGTCAGGAGCTTCAAGTTTGAGATTACATAATAAAATCCCCTGGAAATTTAAGTTTGAAATTACACAAGAAATAAACTCCTAACCCATGTGCCCCTGAGCAAGCATACACCTCTATGTGGTGTCCTGTATACTCCTGAGCGAGCATACACCTCTGTGGGTGTTCTGAGTGCTACTGGGCATGCATATACCTCTCTGTGCAGTCCTGTGTCACTGAACCAACTCTAACAAGAGGACATACAGACTTTGTTTTTCAAAATCAGGCACAGGTTGGCATGTTTGGTCAAATAATGAGGAAAGGTAGTCTTGATCAAAAAGTTGATTCAAACAACTGAAGATCCCATCTTGTATTCTATGGTAGTCTGTGTCCATGCATGGAAGAGATCCCAGAATCACTGAGAGTAAGGTGAAAACTAACTCCCTTGGTTTTAAGTCTTGTCAGTGGCCATCTTTGAAAAGATGAGCTCAAGGCCAGAGAGATGGTTTAGTGGTTAAGACACTTGTTACTCATCTAGGGAACTGGAGTTTGGTTCACAGCATCCATATAAGGTGACTCACAGCCATCTGAAACTCCAGCTGGGTGTGGGGGGGGAGAGAAGGAAGGGGTCGCTTTTGCTCTGGGGGGGTGTTTCTTATGCCACCTTATGGTTGCTGTGGGCACTGCATGGATGTGGTTACCCATACAGGTAGAAGAATAAAATTATTTCACAAAGAAGAAGGGATGAATTCTGAGACCCTTTAGTTCTATACTTCAGAAGGTTCTCCTAGAAGACCCCTGGTGATGCCCACACTGCAAGTCACCCCCTTTCCTATATGAAAACCTCATATTAATATTCATTAAAACAAAATCAAGCAAAATAAACAAGCCATCCTCCATTAACTGCTGCTGTCTGCCTTATTTACATACCAGAAATCTCTCTCTCTCTCTCTCTCTCTCTCTCTCTCTCTCTCTGCTCAGTGGCTGCTGATGTATCTTAGGGTAGAAAACAATTTGGGGTACCTTTTGAAGTCCAGTCAGTAAGACCCCAGTAGGACATCATAGGAGCCTCCCTTCCTGACTAACCTTGGTCCTGTCTCTATATTAGACTAAGCACACGGGCCTTTGGCTGGGAGGTAAGAAAGACATGAACAGATGGCAGACATGGAACAGGCACCTGCCCCCAAGGACTTACTGACTCATGCAAAGTCCTCGGGCCGCAATCCTTCTGTGCCTTCTTGCTGAGCACGTGGCAGCCAGTCTCTAAGACATCCAGTGTGAGGTAGAACAGGGATCCCATGTCCTCCTGTGGTAGGGTTGGAGAAATAAATACCCCACCCCACATGAAACAATCTCAGAACAACCAGACAAATAGCCTCTTTCTGGGTGAGACAAAGCATGTGTATAGCAATGCCTTTTACGCTGCTGAAACCCAGAGTGGATCACCATTAGCCCTACTGCTTAGGGGAAGCAAGAGTGTCTAGAACACCTGCTGACAATGGTAGAGCACTGTGTTTCCAAACTGGAAAGCACCTGCTGACAAGTAGCCCTGACTTGCCACCCCTGGCTGGTCTCTGCTCTTGACCAAATGCTGCCCCAAAGGCTGTCACTTGCCTGGTAGTGCTCCCAAGCATCATGCACTCGAGAAAGGCTCAACATGTAGCCGTCCTTTTGGTCTCTGTTGATGTTCTGCAGGGCAAAGCCTGCAACTGCCAGCACTTGGGAGTCATTACAGCTCAAAGGATCCAGAAGTAGGGCGGGGGGAAGAGGGGGAAGGGGTGGTGCCGGAGGAGAACGAGCCACACAGCATGCAGCCAGGGTGCAGAACACCAGAAGTCTGAGCAGAGCCATCCTGTGGGGGAACCAAGGTGGGGTCAATGTGTACAGATGCCAGGCTGGGCACTGTTGTGGGCCTCAAGACTGACTTGAGCAGTTTTATAATTGCAATCAGAATGGCTGAATGTGACTTGAAACACTATGTCCTAACATCACCTTGGTCCACACAGGGCATGTTCTGCGTCAATATTTTAGATAGGATTTGTCAATGTTCTAACCTTAGACCTGGAGCATGCCATTCTTGTATGCATGTAAATAGCTCTAAGTTTCCTAACCTTTTCCCAGTAATTACCACAGATATTTGATCATGACTTGGGAGACCTGGCTTCTGTCCCGGTCTCTATTTGCAACATGGGGCCTAGCACCTCATCCCACCTTCCCTGCAGATGGCCTCATGTCCATACTGTTACTTGAGCAGCAGCACAGAAGCTTCGGTCTTCCCAGCTCACCTCCCACCAGATGAGAGTCTCATCTGACTGGAACTGAAGATAAGCACAATTCAAAAATTTCCCTTTCTAGCACCTGTATCAGTCAGGAAAATCTTGTGCCTCATCTCAAAATTGTATTTAAGGGAAAAAAAGCTGAAGAGAGCCTAACAGTTTTCCCATCACACTGCAGATCTAGTCTTCCTTTTGTGCACTGACAAGTAAATTCATTAAGAGACAAAAACCTGGTTCTCACTTTGGCAGCACATACACTAACATTGGAACAATACAGAGAAGATTAGCATGGTCCCTATGCAAGAATGACATGCAAATTTGTGAAGCTGAGAGAGAGAGAGAGAGAGAGAGAGAGAGAGAGAGAGAGAGAGAGAGAGAGAATGTCAAGAGGATCAGTTAAAATAGAGAGAGCTGGCCATAGAGACTGACCATAATTCTCTTTTATTTTTTGTTTTTTGTTTGTTTTTGGAAACAGGGTTTCTCTACATAATAGCTCTGACTGTCTTGGAACTCTTTTAGACCAGGCTGGCCTCAAACTCACAGAGATCTTCCTGCCTCTGCATCCTGAGTGCTAGGATTAAAGGTGTATGCCACCCCCACCTGGCTGGCCATGATTCTTGCCTCTCTTTTTTAGCTTCCATTTAGAGCCCAGGGAGGTTAGACTTATTAGGATGATATAAAAAGCAATTTATTTTTATTGTTTTGACAGGGCCTAGAACTTGCTATGCAGCTGAAGGTGGCTTTGAATTTGTAATCCTCCTGCTCTGACTCCCAACTGCTGGGATTAAAGGTGCATACCACCATTCCTGGCTACAAAAACGAGTATCCTTCAAACTTCTTTTCCTCTAGGACTAAGTCTCACATACACTCAATACACAGAAACTTCTCTTTCATTGCACACCATCACAGGGATTTTTGTTTTGAGACAGGGCTGCTCTAAGTTCCCCAGTCTGGCCTGGAACTTTTTACCCTCAAGTTTCTGGGATTACAGGTGTCCACTACCATACATCACACACACACACACACACACACACACACACACACACACCACACACACACACATTGCATGAGTGTGTGATGTCAAGAGTCAAACACAGGGCCTCACTTATATCAGACATGCATTCTACTGCTGAGCTACATCCACAGGCCACTTTTTTTTTTTTTTTCAGTTTCTAAACATTTTCATTTCAAATCTCTTTTTCATCCCTCCTCAAAAAGACACGGGTCGGTAGAGCAATCATAAAAAGGAGATACAAACACAAGAGTCAAATGTCTCCTGCACTGACAGTTACAAAAAAAAATGGGAATTATACACAGGGTTTCCAAACAGGACTTGCAGCAGCTACTATTATCCCACAGGCCACTTTTTAAAAATGTTTCTATCGCACATGCATGCACATGCACACACACACACACACACACACACACACACACACACACACACACACACACAACAGAAGCTACCCTGAAAGCAAAGACCTGAGTCAAGAAGGGAGCCTGCAGATTAGGCTGACTCTGCAAGCATTCCCTAAGCTGAGCAACCCCTCAGCCCCTATCACCTCTGTCCAGGCATTCTGTGTTCAGACAGATGGAGGTATGGCTGTGCCCACCTGCACCCATGTGGCAGGCCCTCAATACACAGAGTATCTCAAAGACTCCAAAGCTTCGGGGGTCAACACTATTTCAAACACAGTTCCCTACAGCTACCAGAGCACCCAGGAGCATTTCTGAATAGTGTTTACTTTTAATCCACAGATACATTTTGGAAATGTCTGTGTTCATACAGAAGGATTTCCAGTCTATGAGGCCTTTTCGTGAGAACCTGGTGAGAGGGACCAAAGATTTTAACTGTAAGTCAGATCTTCCAAGTAAATGGAAATAAATGTCCTTCTGGTCTGGATGGAAACCCGACATGTGGTAAACTGTGGCTGACAATAGTGAACCAAGCAAAAGAAAAGCTGTCAGTGCTGCCAAAGTATCTCAATTGACTTAAAACTTTGATCTCATACTAAACCTAAATATAATACCTGACATGCTTTTTTTTAACTAACATTACTGTTACTAAGAAAAATTTAATTTTATGATAAATTTAATAAATGACTTAAATTTAAATTTACTATGATAAATTTAATTGTATCATAGTAGAGCAGAAAACAGATTGTTTCTTTCATTTGATAGCCACCCACAGGCAATGGGTAATGAAATTTGCTCACTAACTTAGTGGTGGTACAAACACTCACTGAAAACTGTAAAGACAACTTAGCCACCAACCAGGTGAGAAAAGGGTGAAACTCCTGACTAAATCAAGGCAAGAACCAGCATAGGAGCCTTCTCTTTTAGCATTTTTCATCAAGTCTGGTGAGATGGCTCAGCCAGTAAAGGTGCTTGCTGCCAAGCCCAATGTCCTGAGTTCAATTCCTGGGACCCTCATGGTAAAAGGAGAGAAGTGACTTCCAAAAGTTGTTCTCTGACCTCCACAAGTGAGCATGCATGTGGCACCTGCATCACTCCCCATGCACGAAAACAAACAAACAAATAAATGTAAAAGTATCTTTTTTTCATATCACTGGTGATTAGAGCACTGGCTGAACTACACTCTTTCAGTTACCAACCCACCGAGGCAGCGAAGCCACTTACCTGCTGAAAGCCTGGCTGCCCAATCTGTCAAATGTGTTAATCATGACTCCTGAATCAGAAATCATTCGTGCAGAAGGCTAGAACATTGGCTGGCACATTGCTAGACGTTGCGTAATACTGCTACCTGTAACTCACACGTTCTTATTAAGCAATTGCACAATGCCAGGAATTGAGTTAGGCTGTTTGGAACCAAGAAGTAGTTAAGGCTGACGTGGCTTGAGCACGTCCCCAAGGTTCAGAGGTTGGAAAAGCAATCACCTATTGAAACCAGTGGAAAAGTGGTACCTTTGAAGAGAGATTAAGTCTCACGGGGTCTGTCCTCGTGAGTGGAAAATGTCCATGTCAGGTGAGTGAGTTTGTGATACCTTCGGCTGCAGCATGACACAGCAAGAAGCCTGTCCCCAGTGGATGTCCCAGTCTCCAGCATGGTGAGTGGGATTCTGGGACAGCAGCACAGGATGGATAGGCATTAGCAGAGCCCACTATTTTTTTTTTTTTAATAAACAAGTTGTTAGTAAAAAAAATGACTTACAAACCCAAATCCGAAGATCACAACTCTTTAGAAATTGGCTCATGGTTGTGCTTTCAAATGGGAATAACATGAGAAAATGGGCATTGAAACCAGAAATAGTTACTTTTAAAACAGCAACACAAATTGGGAGGCCATTAGGCTTTGGAATTTAAATCCCTAAAAACAAAACAAAGCCAAGGGTAAACCCTGAGACTAGAAAACAACAGCTAATGCTAGGCAGGTACTCCAACCAATAAAAATTCATTTTGCTTCTCTTGTGTCTGCAACTTTATTTTACAAGTTTACCCTCTCACAATCCTGGGCTCATAAATCGATGAATTAAAAAAAAATGTTTTTTTAAAATTTAAAAGTGTTGAAGTTTTTCCTTTATCGATTCAAAAATCAGATATTCAAATTCTGGGGTTCAAGAGAGACTCAGTTTTAGTCAGCTGTGGGCCCAGGTTTATGGGGTTCTCTCTGCTAGTGCATCTGAGGCCTGAGAAAATGTACTCAATACATTCAGGTGAAGGCCACTGGAACAACTTTAATGAAGGGCAGATGCAAAGATTCTAAAAAATGTCATGACCGAATGGGAGGCTGGGCTTTGATGAGGCAGCTGCTTTAGCTCTTGTCTGCAAGAGCCAGGCTAGTGGTAAAACCCTTCTTAAGCCCAGCTTCCTCATCTGTGTGGGGCTTCCAACCATGCAATTGCTAAGAGCCCTTTAGCTCCGATGGGGTAGCGCCTGCCTCTCTGTGCACTGAATGCCATTCCATCTCCAGTGGCTGCTGCTCACTGCTGTCAGTAGGATGGAGCTTGTTTACTGCCATTCAGCTGTAGGTTCTAATACACCTGAGCCTAACAGCTTACGGGAGCCCTGGCAGGGGTGGCATGGGGAAGAGGCCAGACTAGTTGCCCTTGCTAAAGGTGGTCTCCAGAGCTCATTGATCTGCCCCCCTCTCTCTTTCCTACCCTTATCTTTCCTTTCTTGGACAAACACTGAGCAAACAGCTCCTCCACATGTGGGCAAAGAACCAGGGTTGTGTAAAAGTAACACTGATAGGTTCTTATAATCTTCCCAGCCCTGCACTAAATACTGCTTTTCTTCTGAACCAGGGATTTAGATGGTACAATGATTCCTATTGTACAGGAAAGGTTAGAAAGCTTGCCCAAGACTTACAGTTCGATTATAAAATCTTAGTTCCTGCTCTTAAGGAGTCAAGACTAGGAAAGCACAGGGAACCCTTCCTGCAAGAGGCAGCATTCAGCCAGAGAGACTGGAGCTATGGCTCAAGGTGTGCTGGATGGGTGAAGTGGGGAGGATGTGCCAGGGAGGAGAGTCAGGACAGTGATGTGTCACCGTTTCCTTGCACTCTAAACCTCCCCCCTTTGGAATCTGAAGGGAAGAGTTACAAGGTCCAGGAAACTTAAGAGGTTTAGGAAGTTCACAAAGTTACAAGACTCACAAGGCCACTCCCCACAGTAATTGCTAAGGTCAAAGGAGACTCTGGAGTGAATCTTGCTCAGTTTTCTGGGAGAAAATGATGCAGCTTTTTGAGCCAGATAAAAAAAAAAAAAAAAAAAAAAAAGGACCATGAGGAAGAAAAGGAGCCCTCAGGCTGGAGCCTGGTTGAAGCCTCTCACCAGCCAGGAAGCAAGAATTTCAACATAGTTAACACTTGCTGTGAGGGCTGCTGACACAGAGAGAATATTTTTTTTGCACATATTGATGTTTCATGTCAGAATAGCAATAAACTAGAGGCAAAACCATGACCTTGGATTGGCATACTCTGAAAGGCTAACATTGTTTGTAGTGATAACATCTCTCCTTCCTTCAGCTGTCACCCAGGATTACTTCACCAGTTGTAATCCTGTCCAGGGTCCCCCACCAAACTGTTCCTTGATCTCACTGAGGCTCATTAGCCACCCCTTGAAGACAGTAGTCTCTATATTGACAGAGCTAGACATGTATGACTATGTATGACTATAGCTAGACAGTGAAATGTCTTTGAGAAGCCTACATTCTCTTAGGTGTGTCTTGCTTTCTTCCTGAATCTTTCCTATTAACCTTTGTATTTAAAAATCATATTAAGCTGGGGTGGGGAGGGTGGCGCCCGCCTTTAATTCCAGCACTCTGGAAGCAGAGGTAGGTGGATCTCTGTGAGTTCAAGCCCAACCTGGTCTAGAGAGTGAATGCCAGCTGTTACACAGAGAAACAAACCCCTGTCTTGAAAAACCACGTAAAATAAAATCCTATTAAATATATCTATCAAATCCTGGCTGCTTTGTGATGGCTTGCTCTGAAATGCTTTCCTGCATCAAAAGATCTGGTTCGACCTGAATGAAGGGGAACTTGATGGAAAAGTTCCAGGGAACTCCTCAGGTTACTGCAGGAAACAGAGTGACCACCTCCAATGACAACCAATCCCTCCTGCTAGGGTGTGCTCTTCAGTGACCTAGCAGTCTTCGAGTTGGCCATGCTGTAAGGAGTAACTTTCCACCTATGCATAATGAGGTCATGAGTTCACCAAGATAAACTTGGCTAAAATGGTTTCTTTGGTCTGTCCTTGATGCGCCATCTGGGGTGAGAATGTATTTGTTGGTATCTCCCCAGGAATGGTCACACTCAAACAATTAAAGAAAGAATGGATTATGATGTGTGCAGGAAGGTAGATTCAAATGGAAATCATTATAAGCAAAACAAGTCAGTCTTTGGGAAAAGATATTCACCAACCCCACATCTGACAGAGGGCTGATCTCCAAAATATACAAAGAACTCAAGAAGCTATTCTCCAAAACACCAAACAATCCTATTAAAAAATGGGGTACAGAACTAAATAGACAATTCTCAATAGAGGAATCTAAAATGGCTGAAAGACACATAAGAAAGTGTTCAACATCCTTAGCCATCAGGGAAATGAAAATCAAAACAACTCTGAGATACCATCTTACCCCTGTCAGAATGGCTAAAATCAAAAATACCAATGACAGTTTATGCCGGAGAGGATGCAGAGAAAGAGGAACACTTCTCCACTGCTGGTGGGAGTGCCAACTTGTACAGTCACTTTGGAAATCAGTATGGCGACTCCTCAAGAAAATGGGAATGATTCTACCACAAGATCCAGCAAGTCCACTCCTAGGCATATACCCAAAAGAAGCACATTCATATAACAAGGACATCTGTTCAACCATGTTCATAGCAGCATTATTTGTAATAGCCAGAAACTGGAAGCAGCCTAGATGCCCCTCAA